CTACGGTAGGGCATCTTCCGCATCTTTCTCACTGTTGGACCATCGCTGATAGATTGACCGTTCTAGGACTTCGTGACCAAAGAAGAGCGATGGAGTGGGTACACCGGTATATCCAGGCGTTCGGCGGCAACCCAAATAACGTCACGCTCTTCGGCGAATCCACGGGTGCCGGCGATATCCTCTGTCACCTGAACTCAGCCGCCAACGAGGTTGCCCCGCTATTCCAGCGGGCAATCATCCAGAGCGCCATCGTTGATCTGGAGGTGCCGAACGCGCACCAAGTTGGTTGGCAGATGTCGAAAATCATGTCCGCGCTACGCGTGCAGAATATTGACGAGCTCCGTGCCATCGAAGCTGAGAAGCTGGCCGTCCTTGGGCAGGGTATTCGTGCAGTGGACGACGGCGTCTTCTTCCGCAAGTCCTGGACCGGTTCCCTGGTTAATCTCGACAAGACGATGCCACACCACCTCGAGACGCGCTTGGGCGACAGCCTCGTCGTGGAATTGAACTCGCACTCACATCATTTAAAGGTTTCGCATCATCTGAACGAGCACTCGCGGTCGCACTCTTGCTCGCGGCATACTCACAGTCATCAGCCAGTGATCATCGGCGACTGCGGCGCGGAATCGCTCCTCTGGTCTCTGCCTGCCTCGCTCTGGACGGCTGCTGGCGCGGTCAAGCGAATACAGGCGATCTGCCAGTCTCTGAATAAGGCGAACGTGCTGCTCCGCTCGTACGACATCAACTCGTTCACGCCTCCGGACGAGCTGCCTGAACGCTTGCTGGATCTGATCAACGACACTCGGTTTGCTTGGCCCACGGAACTCGTCGCTGCGAGCCTGCGCGCTGAGCGTGGTGGACACGGCGTCTGGCGGTACGTCTTCGATCAGGAAAGCCCCTCGCGCGGACTGCCGCACCATGCTGTTGACCTCATGTACCTCTTCGACAACGTGCCTCTGCCCTCTCTGCCCTCCACGTCTCCGTACGACTACACCGAGCCGCGCGAAGACGGGTACTTCTACACGCCCGACGACTCGGACGATGAGGATTGCCCGGTCGCGAAACGCTCTCGCTCTGCGGGCCCCTCGTCATTACCCTGCGGGCGCGACTCGGACGACGACGACGAGGTCGCGCCGGGGTACGACTACGACGCGGACTGGGCGATGCCGGTCGTGGACGACTGGACCTACGCGCGCGTTCGGAACGCGGTGCAGGAGCGTTGGCTCGCGTTCGCGCACGGCGAGGCGCCGTGGCGCGAGGACAAGGTGTTCGTCTTCGGGCCCGAGGGCGAGGTCGGCGAGCGCAGCATGTGCATCTTCCAGGCGCGCCGCCGGACGCAGATGTGGAAGGAGGCGCTGGAGCCGCTCGGGATGCAGACCGTGCAGAAACTTGGCTTGGAGCTGTGCAACGGCCCGCCGGCGGACGCGCGGTCGTATTACTGATCGCTCTGCGTGCTTTCCTGTCTGGCTTGATGCTGCGCTTTCCTTGGGTTCTCGGACGTTTGCATGTTTTGGATCTCTGCTGTTGCTCCCCGCATCTATGTATATTCTACATTAGCATGTCCCATGTTGTTCTCATACGCTATCCTATACCACCATGTAAACACGCATATGCATGCTTTGCACTGCTCGCCATGGCGATCGTCGTGCCATCTCATTGAGCGTACCGTGTGGGCATCTATCCTCTTCGAGGCATCACGAAGCCAAAAGCTCGGTTGCCAAACAGCATCCACATCGTCATCGCGTCGTTCTCGCACGATGCCACAGAGCTCAGCATGGGTAGTACTAACTTTGGTGGTAACGCGCTTCCACTCGAGTCAATATCGCGTTCACGTGACCACCATGTGGGGGGCAAATATTCAACGCCGCTCTGACTTGCTTTATAGCATCAGCGTCCCGAATTTTTTCAATGTTCCGCCTCCTCGCCCGCCCCCTTCGCTCGCCCATCTTCGTCCCCGCCCTCCGCAGATCGATGGCCGTCACGCCGGACTACGTGCGTTTTGCGCCCGGATGATGATCCGCCGCGCCGAGTTGTCGCTCACGTCGTTCTCCCCTGTCCGTGCAGAACAAGGTGCTCTACGCACCGCTCGCCGAGATCGACCCCGAGGTGCAGAACATCATCGACAAGGAGACATGGCGGCAGTTCTCCGGCCTCGAGCTCATCGCGTCCGAGGTGCGTTCTCGTCTTGCGTCCCTCACCCCCGTGCGAGGCAGGCGGGTGCTGATCTGGCCGCCCGGGCGTGCTGTAGAACTTGACGAGCCGGGCGACGATGGAGGCCAACGGCTCGATCCTCACGAACAAGTACTCGGAGGGCCTGCCCAATGCGCGGTATTACGGCGGTAACGAGTACGTCGACGAGCTCGAGCTGCTCTGCCAGAAGCGGGCCCTCCAGGCGTTCCACCTCGACCCCGCTGAGTGGGGCGTCAACGTGCAGCCCTACTCCGGCTCCGTACGTAATTACTCTCCGCCATGGTACGACCCGCTAACTAGCCCTGCTACTCGCAGACTGCCAAGTCAGTGATGCCTTTGGTGCTGTCCGTGTCACCTTGCTGACGGCTTTCATGTAGCTTCGCCGCCCTCACGGCACTCATCCAGCCCCAGGACCGCCTCATGGGCCTTGGTCTGCCCGATGGTGGCCACTTGACGCACGGGTACTACGTACGTGATACATTGCACGGACTCCCTTGTCAATCGCTGATGATGGCTCCTTGCAGACCACCAAGAAGAAGATGACGGCGTCGTCGATCTACTTCCAGTCGCTGCCCTACGGCATCGACCCCGAGACGCAGCTCATCGACTACAAGAACCTCCGCTCGCTCGCGAAGATCTACAAGCCGCGCCTCATCATCTGCGGTGCGTCCGCGTACCCACGCGACTGGGACTACAAGACGCTCCGCGAGATCGCGGACGAGCACGGCGCGTTCTTGATGGCCGACATCGCACACACGAGCGGCCTCGTCGCGGCTGGCGAGCTGGCGGACCCCTTCCAGTACTGCGACGTCGTGACGACCACGACGCACAAGACCCTCCGCGGCCCCCGTGCTGGTCTCATCTTCTTCAAGAAGAACTGCGACAAGGCGCAGGACCTCGAGAAGCGGGTGAACGAGGCTGTCTTCCCCGCCTGCCAGGGTGGTCCACACAACAACGTACGTTTTGCGGTGATCCGTAGCCTCGTGACTCATAGTGACATGCTTTCTATAGACCATCGCTGGTATTGCGACTGCTTTGCTGCAGGCGTGCCAGCCCACCTGGAAGGCGTATGCCAAGCAGGTCATCGCCAACGCCGCCACCCTCGGCAAGGAGCTCGTAGCGCGCGGCTACAAGCTCCAGACGTCGGGCACGGACAACCACCTCGTCCTCTGGGACCTGCGCCCGCTCCGCCTCACGGGCTCCAAGCTCGAGAAGCTGTGCGACTTCGTCGGGATCACGATCAACAAGAACGCCGTGTCCGGCGACGCGTCCGCGCAGGTGCCCGGTGGCATCCGGCTCGGGACGGCGGCGCTCACGTCGCGCGACATGCGCGAGGAGGACATGAAGGTCGTCGCGGACTTCCTCCACCGCGCGGTGCAGATCGCGCTCGTGCTCCAGAAGGAGGCGGGCACCAAGATGCTGAAGGACTTTGTGCGCGTAGCGACGACGCACGAGGAGGGCAAGGTCGGCGCGCAGCAGGTCCAGGAGCTCAAGAGGGAGGTCCGCGCGTTTGCCCGGAGGTGGCCTCTGCCTGGCGTCGACGTGTCGAAGCTGACGCGTCCTGCTGGTATCGAGGAGGACGATTGAACGTCGGCGTTGGGCGGAGAGGGCGGCGCTGTGTATTCATATGCCTGCCGGTGCGCGCGTCCGGGTTTGGAGGGGATTCATAGCGGAGTCTAGGAGGCGAGATCTTGTTGGATTGTGCTTGCGGAAGTAAAATAGCCAGTCGGGTATTCAACATAATCCGGCCCTCCCAGACGCATTCAACATCGCTGGGTCGTCATGTGTATCAGTAGATTCCACTCACTATCGTCGCTGCAACATGCTGTATACTGTTCTGTTCCCACAAATGGGCACCGCTTCGCCACGCCCCATAGCCTGCACTGGGCAGAATCCATCCATCCGAACAGACGACACTAGTAGCGAAAGACATAACAGGCACTACTCCGTGCCGCAGTACTCCTTCAAGAGGGTCCTCGTGATCGCCACGCGGACGAGAGACCCAACCTCCAACAGCGTCGTCAAAGTAGAGCTCCACCTTCCACCTCTCCTTCCCGATCCACATCGTCTTCGTGTATTTATCCAGCCACTCTATGCGGGCGGTCTTCGCTTTATCGTTGAAGCGATAACCTGCCACGTATGGCTGTGGTCCGAGATATCTGTGCCTGCTGAAAGTCGGTATGGGCGGATTCTGGAAGGCCATATCAAGCACGTACCGTCTGGGCACTCCTACGTTGTAGTCTCCTGTTATGAAGTTTAAGCCTTGAAAGCCATCCGCCGGAGGACTATCGTAGAAGCGGTACACCAGGAAGTTCAGATCCTCGCCTTCATGAAAGTGGATCTGAAGGAATAGATGTCACAGAGTGTGGCCACACAAGGCGTATACGTATGTCCGAATGGACCTACTACTTGCTCCTTGTCATCGTGCATGTATTGCAGAGGTAGGAAGAGCTTCCCGGCGAACGGTGCTGGGTGCTGGTTGAGAGGATGTTTGTCCATCTCAACGGAGGGTAGTGAGCAAATCGGAGGCTCACCACGCAGCAGCACAACTTGTGGTGGTTTATTCTGCTGTAGTCCCGGCCTCGTACCCACCTCCCAGGCGTACACCTCGACATACTTCAGCAGGTTCTTCTCTATGAATTCTCGCTCCCGCTCCAGGCTGCGACCTCGAAGGACGAGCGGGTCAGGCCGTTGACGCCTTTCACAATACTCCCGTCGCCGGTTTATCCAAGCCTCCCGACTTGAATCGGTCCATTGGCGTCGCATCCTGCATGGTGGATGACAGGGATGAGAGAGGGAGACAAAAGGAGCTGCCCCGGTGAGGCTCGAACTCACGACCTTCCGATTGCCACCATAACAGTCGGACGCTGTAACCAACTCAGCCACGGGGCACCTAGTCGTGTTCCTACTTAATTTTATATACGTTACTTCAGTGTTGGATCCTCTTCGGAAGAAAGCGGGACACGTGCCTGGTGGGAGGAGGACTCGAGCTGTCGCCGACGTCGCTCAGTCCAGCTTTCTCATTTGCACGCCCGGTCGCGTCCACCATGCAGCCCACTCTCATCCGCCGTCAGCTCGGTGGGCTCGTCCCTCCGAAAGTTGCTACACCTTCTCTGCTCGTGAGTGCTGCAACCTCGCCAAGAGCTATCGCGTGAGATGGGCGGATTTTGCTGACCACGCTCGCACGCTCGTACGACAGTCCGCTGGCACGGGCGGCGGTCTCCGCCCCCTCGTGGAGTTCTACTCGAAGCTGCCCAAGGGCCCCGCGCCGACGACTGCTGGTGGAGGGATCAAGGCGCGCTATTTCAACGGCAAGAACGCGTCCCCCGCTCCTCTCATCTGGACCATTCTTGGCATCTTCGGCCTGGGTTACACCATTGACTACCAGAGTATGTCGTATGTTCCCTGCAGCGATTCTCTACTGACTGCCATTGGTGCGCCTCCTTGCGTCGCTCTACGATGTTGTAGTGCATCTCAGTAAGTACATGCTCTTCATGGCGTTTCTTAGAGTGTCTGATCGTGATCACACTTCGTAGAGCACCACAAGAACCACGCACACTAAGTGTTCAGATGGAGTTGGTTTGAGGAGCGATAGCATTGGCAATATTGTACATGGACCAATAAATTGCGTTCATCTCTGCCACCTCTTGTACGCCCCAACTATGGAACATTTCTCAGCCGACCGTCCCGGCCAGGACCCTGCTCAGGACCGCCCATGCTCCGAGCTCTCACGCAACCCGTTCTCTGGTGCGTTTCCTGTGCCACAAGATAGGGTGCTGGCTGTTTGCAGTCGAGAAATCGTGAAGGTGTGACCCCTCGCGCTCGCATACATCCGGTTTGTTCAAATGTGGTCCCAATGATCTGTCTTGATTGTTGCCCGGATATCAACACTCCACCTATAAAGAATGCTAGGACCATAAAGCAAGTTCTAGGTATCTGTTTCCTTGACACTCGGAAAGGACGGGTTCACCGGAGGAAGAGGCTTGCTAACTGGGATCCCTCACCTGACAAGGCCGTCTAGACGGGGCCAATTCTTGAGCTCATGCACATAGCCAATTTACCGTTGAGGCGTCATTGCCAAGGCCTAATAAATGGACTCCCTTGGGGCTCCTGGTGGAGCAGTTCACGATCCTCATGTCCTTGGCAACCTGAGGCCAACCGCCGAGCTGGATGTTTGGCTCTTTAGCAAGCAAGCAACAGCAGCGCGAGTGCAGCGCCCAGGCTCCGATCAGTCCATCGCTGCAACAGACCCTTCAATCATGAATACGTGATGGCCGACAAAGGTGAGTGTCCTTGTCGAATGCAAATGCAGGCCGTCGCTTGCTCGCTGTAGACTCAGGCTGTGTGGCAAATCCAAGATTATCATAAATATGCGTCACAGCTCTCCAGAGACACATCATACCAAACACCGGAGTCATGATTTTGATTGTTTCCGGCCACTGACGAGGGGTGCGGACCTGCATCACGTCTTGCAATGGTAGTGCGAAGACGTGCCCGGAACCCAGAATAGTACACACAAGTTATGCGTACAGACTATGTACATAGCTCTAGAGACACTTTGAGAACTCTGGAAGCATATGGAGCAGCACGGGTTGCAATATCGTGATGAACGCACAAGCGTTCTCCATTCAGCAGCAGGACACTCAAATCGCGAGCGCACACAACCGAGGTCCGCCGTCCAGCGCTCTCTGTGTTTTCAGCCGTGATGTCACCAAATGGTGACCATACATGCGCTGACCAGAGCGCATAGTGTTTCCACAAGCACTTCACCTCTGCCTCGTCTTCTAATATAATGCGTGAGTACCGTTTGTCTGTCTTCAACCCAACCACCTTGAGCCGCAGACAAGTTCTAGCGCATCTGCGCACGGCGCGTGGAACGAACAACGCCGTGGATTGATTCTGCCGTGTAGCGACTCCACCCGCTCCAACTGCGATGCCTCTGCCCGACAACGGGGGCACGACGTCGCAACAACCGAGCCTTTGTCCTTCGAGTCGTCTGACGTTTGCGATGCTGCGAACCGGTCATTGTTCCAGGCGAGGAAGCACCCTCGGATCGCAAGAATGCAGGCGAGGGTTTCGAGGTGCTGTATATAAGTGGGCCTGCGGCGCGTGTGTAGTGTTCCCCATCGCCCTTGGTCGAACCCGTTGAGCCTGGTGCTCGATTCACTCCCGCTATACGCCTCGCCGTTCGTGCCTCCATTCACGTCTGCTCGTCGCAATCCAATTTTCACTCGTTCAACCCACCTGTCGGCATTTCACCTATCATGTTCTCCGCTACGAAGCTCTCCGCATTCGTCCTGCTCTCCCTCGCAGCGATCGCGCACGCCGCTCCCGCGGATTTCCAGAAGCAAAACGCGCTTGACGCGCAGAAGCTCAACGCCAAGTTCGCTACCCTCACCGCGGACAGCTCCTGCAACGGTATGCCGGCTCGCACACACACACACACCTTCGAACGTGACGCTTACATGCTACGCTTATTGCAGACGGCGACCAAGCGTGCGTGCAGGGCGCGTTCGCACAGTGCGTCGGGGGCAAGTTCCAGACGACGCAGTGCTCGGACGGCACGACCTGCGTCGCGCTCCCGCTCGTCAACAAGCCCGGCACGAGCATCGCCTGCGACAGCCAGGCGGACGCGCTCGCACGTATGAAGGCGGCCGGCGCCTCGGGCGGCCTCACTGGCTCCGACTCTAGCTCAGGCTCGAGCTCGAGCTCTGCCTCCTCTGGTACCGGCAGCGGCAGCGGCGCGCAATCGGGGTCGAGCTCTGGCTCCGGCTTGGACTCTGGGTCCAGCTCGAGCTCGGGATCGGACTCTGGTTCTGGCTCTGGTTCGAGTTCGGGGATGGGTTCGGACTCTGGCTCCAGCTCCGGCTCTGACTCGGGCAGCGGCGATACGGGCTCGTCTGCGACCGCAACCGCGACCGACGGCAGCGCTGGCGCTGGCGTAACCGCGACCGCCACGGATGGTGGCGACGGCGCGGGCGCGACTGCCACAGCTACGGATGGCGATGGGATTGGCGCGACTGCGACCGCTACGGACGCTGGAGCTGGTGCGACGGCGACGGCGACGGCGACCGATGGCGGCGATGGGAGCGCCTCTGCGACCGACGGCGGCTCATGCGTGGCCACGACGGTCACGATGACCGTCACCGCGGGCGGCGCAGGTGCGTCTGCGACCGACACTGGCATCGACACCGCTCTCCCTACCGCCACCGACTCGAGCGCCGCTACCGCGACCGACTCTAGCGTTGCCACTGCCACGGACTCGAATGCAGCGACGGCGACGGACTCGAGCGCCGCTACTGCCACCGATTCGAGTGCGGCGACTGCTACCGCGACGGACACCGGTGCCGCGACCGCGACCGCTACGGAGCCCGCTGCCAGCGCGTCCATTGCTCTCTCTTCTGTCGCAGCATCATCCCTCTACGGCACTGACACCGCCGCGGCGACTGGCGCAGCTGGTGTGGGTGCGGCACAGTCGACTGCGGCTGCCATCCCTTCTGCGTTCTGAAGATGCGTGGACCGGAAGTGGTATTAGGACTCGAGTTGTTGTGCGGGCCGGATGCGGACGAGGCGGATCCTAGGACTGCGCCGATTGCTTACCAGACATGTACACGCCCAGCGCGCTGTGTGCGTGTGGTTGCTGGTTGAGCGGTGCGGCTAAGCTTGACTGTATTCGTTATGTTGTAGCATAGTCGTTGAATGAAGAACATGAATGGCTTGCGGGGCAATGATGGGCACTGAGTTCCCGATGATCGGTGCCGGCCCGGGCTGATACTATACTATTATATACGAGATGGGTGCTCGTTGTTCAGATATTAATGTACACGCACGTTTCTCGCAGTGTCGAGTTGCTGCGATTGCAGACCATTTTGATATATGGCGCCGATATGCAAGTTTAGCTCGAGAGATGAAGAAGGATGAGTGTCTGTTGAGGCCGGGGAGTATATGATGGGCGTGGGGAAGATGCTCGAAGATGAGGCCGATGTCGATGAACAGATGAGCCGGGGGATCTGTGCCTGGCTGGGACTCGCGAGAACGCCGACGCTGCTGACCCCGACTTTGACCATCTCCTCTGCCGCCATCCCGCATCGGTCCTTTCGTTCTCTCCTTCTCGCGCTAGCGACGCCTTTCTCTCTTTTCTGACATCTACGACTGCCAACTGCGTGCGTGCGTGCGTGCGTGCGTGCGTGCTTAGGACGCTGCGTAACGCAGCCTAAATTGCTCGCCTTGCTTCGCCTTCTCCAGTGCGCCTGGCGCTGCGCAGTTCCACTCAATATACCTCTCTCTCTCAGCACCCTTGCTGCCTCTTCACTTTGAACCACCACCACCCCGCGACCATGACCAAACACAAGAAACAGACACCGCAGGAGATCTACCGGGAGCGGAAGAGGCGGGAGGAGGAGGAGAAGGATGCGAGTCTCCCGCCAGGCCTGATTAACCACGGCAATACCTGTTTCATGAATTCCACTCTCCAGGGCGTACGTCCCTCCCCCCTTTCGCACTGAAACGAGGCTCTCTGACTCTCCGTGCAGCTCATCGCCACCCAGCCTCTCCGCGATCTTGTCTACTTTCAGCCCGTAGCCCCCGCACTACAGCCTCCAGATGGTTCGCCCATCATCGCCAAGAGATCGCCACAGCTCACCAACGGCCACGGACTCGGTGGCTCGGACGAACTTGAGTGGACGGACGGCATGCCGCTCGGAGACATCTTCACTACCGTGATGAGGAAGGCCTGGGGTATCCAGGACGCGAAGCGGAGAGAGTCTATGAGCCCAAAGTGCGTAGCAGCCCAGGTTTGGTTTGCCCTCCCTATGACTGACGCATATACAGAGAGATCCTCACCACGATCGGCCGCAAATACGAACAGTACCTCGACTTCCGCCAACAAGACG